GTTCGAGCACTTAAAAAAAAAAAAAGGGAAAAAAAAAAAAAAAAAGTGCTACGACTCTAGTGAGGAGAGACATCACGATGAAAATTTAGAAAGGTCAAAGGAAAGAAGACAATGAAATTGATCGATCATTATTTCAAAAAAATCGAAGGCAAGATAAAAATTAGATTTTTAGTTTATTTTAATAAAAGTTGATGAAATATATTGTTGAAAAATTATAATTAAAAATAAATTTTGAAAAAATATATCTCGAAAAATGAGAACCAAAGAGAACCTTAATATAAACTAATACACCACGAAATTATTCATTAATGGGCTCTTTTATTAATGTGAGGACAAAAAGAACATTTTGGTCCCCAATTTCCTTGAATAGTATTTTCAGTCCAATAATTGTATTTATTTTTCTTCTGCCCCACCTCTTTCTCGCATTTGCGTTTTCCCGTTCTCTCTCTCTATACTCAATTTCCAATTTTCATGTCTTTTGATGTCGTTCCGTTCTGCTTGTACGACATCGTTTTCTGCAGACGGCATTGTTTTGTATCCAATGGATCATTCTCCAGCTCATTCCTGATGCCATTGCTGTTCCCATTTTCAAAATGACTGATCATCGGGTCCGTATTTTGTTTTAATATATATATTTTAAAATTTTTGTTTTGTTTTGTATTGTGTAGTATTTCTCTGCTTTCGGGGTGTGGAGAAAAAATTTTGAAAATAAATTTTAGGGAAATTTGGTGCTTGTGGGTTGAGACTTTGATTGCAATATTGGAGGTTTTAGGGTCCATCATTGTGGAATTTTGAGCTGCTACTGAAACGATTTGTTTCTTAGTTTTGTTAGTAAGTTGAGTTTGTTTTCACTTATTCAGAGAATGAAGAGCTGGAAAAGATATTCAAATTAATGAAAACATGATTTTGCGTTCAGTATAATTTAAAAAAAGAAACAAAAATTGAATATCCGTAAAATGTTGGGATTTTATCTCTTAAATTTTGTTCACTTTGTTGAAACTAAAGACTGCGGACTGCCGGGGTTTTGTGCAATATTTTTTTTTATTTTTTTTATTTTTTGTGATTTTGTTTGTACGTTTTTATGTGTTTTCAGCTTGTCTGTTGATGAGAATGGACAGAACGAAAAGATGAAAACATTGGATCTCCAGAAGGGATATATTAGGGTTGGTTGGTTGAGTACTCAAATAAGCCCGTGAAACCAAAATTGAGACAGGAATAATCTCGAGTTTGGGTGAGTTTCAATGCAGGCAAGACTGTACTTGCTGGTTTACCGAACAAGTTAAGAAAGCCTGAATGGTGTAAGAAACTGATAAGATATTTCTCCGAGTTCTGGGCTAGTAGTTCTTGGCATTAGAGTAAAGGTAATTGTAAGAATGTCAAAGCCTGTATAATGTTTGAATAAATTGTGGCTCCATGTTGAGAACTGGGTAACTTGAGTGGTTTCATCATAATTTAATTTAGTGAAAGTAACTTGGCTTAGGAAGAGAACATGGGTGAAAGTGGGGGGAAGGTGAAAGCTACAAGTTTCAAACTTCAAGAAAAAGAGCAAAGAGTGAATAAATTCAAGGGAAGGAAAGAAGCAAGTGAAACATGGCATCAGACCTGCTACTATACATTCTCCAGATATGGTTCATTAGGAAGGTTGCACCAGAGGGAATGCTAGTATGCAGTGTAGTTCTCATATTGCATTGACCGTGGACATATTAGGAGTTTGGTGTTTATGTTTGTTTTGCTAATAATAGGGCTTTTTTTAAGAATGCTACCATTTACTGGATAATGATTTTGCACAGTATGTTAAATGCTTGTATCTCTTTAGGTGCTTTATTATTGAGGTCTTATTCTCATGAAAATAGAAGTTTTAATCCATTGAAGATATGTATTTTCAACTGTTTTATGTATTTTCAACTGTTTCAGAATTTATTAACTCAAGATATTAAATTTTATTCTTGTTAGAATTTTATAAATTGTTTATAATAAACTTGTTGTTTCTATCATAGAGTAGAAAATCCTATATATAGGGCTATAAAAAAAACTCTAAAAAGAAAGATTGTGTGATAATGACACAATCAACTATTAAGGAAAATAGTCTCACACAATTGGGAAAATATCTTGGAGATTATTCTTTACAGTCTTTCCATATCTTCAACAATTTGTTCATTCACTAAGATCTGATATTTAATTACACAAAGCCTGTTTGAATTGCCCTATGGATGAGTTCGAGAACTTTGGCAATGAATTGCATTTTACATTAAGCGGCGTATCTTTTTAGTTAGCCATAGTACTAGTTGCATTTGTTTAAATGGAATGCTTCTATGGGCAGAGACAGTATTCTGCACGTGAATCTATTTTCAGTTACTAATTGCAATAGTTCGTAAGAGAGTATGACTTTTATGCTTGGCTTGTTTAATCATTTCTGTGGTTTATTAATCTCAATGTCTTGTTTTTATCATCAGGTGCTGATTTTTGGATCATTTACAGAAGAAGAGTTAAGATCCTTGCAACACGAGCCATCGCGAAATAATACAGAAATCACATTTGGTTCTTTGGATTCGGCAACTTTAAGATCTGTGGGCATTTCAAATACTAGTTTGTCTGAGATTTATTCCCCTAAAGGGTATGAGCTGTTAAGGCCACCTCGAATAGAAAATACTTTTAGGACCCCTAGAAATACTGAAAACACATCACACTTGGAAGTTCCTTTTGTGCAGAAAAATGGGTGCTCCAATGATACAAGTCCCATTGAGCGTTATATGACAAAAGAACTTAAGTCTGCGTGTTTAAATTCTGATAATTCTTGTGATTTGTCAAACGACTCAAACCAGCAAAGCATACAGCAGCCCAGTCGTAAGAGAGTTACTAAATTGTCATCCTTCTTGGACGATGTAGTTTTGGATGATTCGACAGAAGGTTTTGACACAGTGGATTCCAAGAAAAGTATTGCCCAGACAGCAAATGGGCCAAATTCAATTCCTAAGAATTTTCTACCTCGAGGTTTAGTCAACTTGGGAAATCTCTGCTTTCTCAATGCAACTGTCCAGGCCCTTCTCTCTTGTTCTCCATTCTTTGAACTTTTGTGTGATCTAAGAAATCATAATATACCAGAGGTATTTGATTAATTTCTTATGATCTATAGTTTCAACATCTAATTTACATATTGCAAAAATTAAGTACTATGAATGTCTACTTATGAATGTTGCGTGTTTCCCCATTTTAGATTGGATATCCAACATTACGCGCATTTGTTGAATTTATCTCTCACTTTGACATGGAAGATGATTCAAGCTCCAAGAGGAATGAGAAAACTGTACTGGAGACTGGACGACCTTTTCGTCCTGTCATGTTTGAATCCATTCTGAAAAGTTTCACACCAGATGTTCCAGACAACCTGTCAGGCAGGCCAAGGTTCATGCATACAGCAGCCTCTATTTCTTTTTGGCCTGTTCTTTGTTGTTATTTATTCACAGTTGCAAAGTCTGGCCTTTTTTTCCCTGGCCTAGATTGGCAGAAAGGAAAAGACCCTAATTTTGGGCAAAGATCCATCCTGACTTCAAAAATACTAATAAACTGCCTCTTTACTTCCTTTTTTTTGGCAATTAAGAGACCTACTTGCATTTATCACTTCAAGAACCTAAATATGTTGGCAATCTTCACTGAACTTACAAAATATCTCAATCTAATGGAGTAAAAGACCTTGTCAAATTCGTCATGATAAATCTTTTTATAAACTTATTTAAAAATTAGAAAAAACTGAAGATACGACCCTAATAAATCTGCTTCCGATGCTGTAGTTTTAAAATAAAATTCTTCTACTAATTTGTCTGTGGGTAAATTTTTTTTTTCTCTAACAAAAATATTTTATTTAGTACAAAGAATTGAAGAATAAATAAAGGTGGAGATTCAAAGGATACTTTGACACAGTAGGATCAGCTGACCTGATCAAATTTTATAGAACATGATGACATTTTAGCCAGCAAAAGTTAGTCTCTAGTGTAATGCCTTCAGTTCTTTTCTTTCTTATCTTGAAACTTAGGAGCAAATCTTCTAAGCATACAGAAAGCAGGGTGTTGGTGATAATGCTGTGAATCTTAAATGGTGTTTGGCAAGAATGACAAAATGAAAAAGAAATGGGCCATGTGTGCATATGTGCAACTCATAACAAAATTAAGTGAAATAACTCATTTTATGGTTTTTGCTCATTCTGTTAAATATCTCTTTGATTGAAATTAAAACAATGTTTCTAGTTCCTCAACTTTTATCTAAATCTTCATTGTGCATTTAAGTCATTATCTTTAATATAACTTAGATGACACTTAATAGAAGTTTATTTTTTAGAAATGCATCGAGTGTACAGTTGTAGTTAGTATATGATTATGTACCTTCACTGTGCTTTCAATTCTCGGGGATGTTGCATGCCTTTCAGGCAAGAAGATGCTCAGGAGTTCCTAAGTTTTGTAATGCATCAGATGCATGCTGAATTGCTAAAACTTGATGGTCAAGTTCCAAATGGAAAAGGGAAAGCGACCTCTTTGGTTTCTTCTACTAATGAGGGTGAAAATGATGACTGGGAGATGGTTGGGCCAAGGAACAAAACTGCGATCACAAGAACACAGACCTTCATCCCTTCAAAATTAAGTGAAATTTTTGGAGGTCAATGGAGAAGTGAAGTGAAGGCAAGAGGTGAGTCAAGGTTTGAAGCATCTAATTCCTCATGTCAGCATGCGATTTTTTAATTTTAATACATGCATCAGCTCATTAATCATCTCCCACAATCCACCTGTTGTTCATTTTAATGCCTTCACATAGACTTGATTCTTTAGAGTTGTTTTACTATTTAGACCACCTAGCTGGAATCATCTTCCAGGAATTCCTATCTTACTTCTGTATAATATAGTAGAGAACTGCCCTGAAAATTAATCTTCTTCTCAATTTGTTTGTTTTGATAATTCTTATCGACAGGCTTAAGCTATATCAATTTGGTTCCTTGAAGAGAAAGTAAAACAGGAAAAAGATTAGTTTAGGGAAGTGCAATGACTGAAAGTATGTCTTGTTAGCAAATTCAAATTGGTGTAATATAGTCAGATATGCTATATTTTAGGGGAACCATGTATACTCAGTAGAGTCATCTTGGACGCCATCCCTGCTGTTGAATATAAAAAATTAGGAAGGGCAGCTAAAGCTCTTGTCTACCCCCTCTCTTCTCCTTCACTCGTGATACTCTTGCGGGATGTAGTCGCTTGTCAGTTGCATATAGCTTGTCATGATTTGCCTTATTGTATTTAAGCAGGTAGCAAAGCATCAGCAACTATACAGCCATTTCTTTTGCTCCACCTTAATATTTTTCCTGAGCCTGTCTGTACAATAGAAGATGCACTGCGATTGTTTTCTGCACCAGAAACACTGGAAGGGTACCGAGCATCAGCAGCTGGAAAGGTGCATTTTATTTTCTACTTACCACCTTTTTTTTTTTGGGTTTTCTGCTCCTAATCATTTACGTTTGCTTAGATAATTTTAAGACAGGGTATTCATTTGAATTATTTGTGCAATCGTGTTTTTCAAAGCTTATTAATTGTTTTAGATCAAATATTATTTAACTCAGGATGTTAGCAAACTGTGACGTCATTATTGGTGGATCAGTCACGTTGGTTATTAATGGATGTATGGACATTGCAGTGATAATGCTTATGATTCGAAGGAAATCTTATTTATTTTCATTTTCATGAGAAGAAATAATTATATAATGAAAATGCAGTATGCAACTCAGATGATTTGACTATGTCTGAATGATCCCAGGCAGTGGTGGTTTCTGCTAGCAAGTCTGTTAAGATTTTGGAGCTTTCTGAGATAATGGTTTTGCACTTGGTGCGTTTTAACTATGGAAGTCAAGGAAGTACCAAATTGCACAAACCTGTGCATTTTCCTTTGGAGCTTGTTTTTGGTCGTGAATTGCTCGTCTCTCCATCCTCTGAGGTGATTTACTATGCTATAACTATTTATGGATATAGGCTTTTTTTTATCTTGTTATGTGATTTGGTTGTCATTAATTGGATGGGCGTTCCCCCACTTTTTGGGAAAAAAGAAAACCTTTTTTTTTCTTCAGTATAAAGTTACTGTCAGCATATAGAATTTAAATCACGAATAGATTCAGAAAGTCCCTCCCATATCCGTATTGGCTACTCTGAAGGCAATCGTCATTGTAGTCTTTGCATGAAGCTGTTATAAATAGAAGTTTCTCACATTTGAGTAGTGTTTCACCCTGTGAAAGATGAAGAAATGATTTGGGTATGATCAAATAGAGATCTCATAGTTCTCCATCAAAGTAGTCTGAAATATTATTTACTAAAGTACTGATTTTCAATTGCAAAAATTGAGTATGTTTAATTTCTTACAAGTACTAAATAATCAATGCCTGATGAACTTAGTCGATTAACAATTTTTATGTGTGGGTAGAAAGTATGAACAAGCCATAATTGTTCCTCTTATTAATTTTTTTTTCATCATTGACTGATACAGGGTAGAAGATATGAACTTGTTGCAACAATCACTCATCACGGACAGGACCCTACGAAGGGACACTATACTGCAGATGCACGCCATCCAAGCGGCAAGTGGCTGCATTATGATGATTCCTCTGTTACACATATTCGTGAAAGTAAGGTGCTGCACGACCAGGCGTACGTTCTCTTCTACAAACAATTGTAGGTATTACGGTATTTAGAAACTGAGCATGTATTCTTGTACATGTATTTCATTATATTCAGAAGCGATAAAAATGCGATATAGACTTATAGTGATGGCAATAGCTAGTCAACAAATAGTGTTTCACCATTTTCTTGAAACTAGTCACTTGAGATTTTCTTGCCTGTCAGAGAAATATCTTTTCAATGGAACTTGAGATTTGGAATTCGGTGTTGGTGAATGTCATTGATTTAGTTTTACTTCATGTAAATGTCTTGTTTCGTAAGTTGTATTGTTTAGTTCTGTCCAATCGTTCGTGCCCAAAGTCATGAAACTGGGCAAGGAATTCTATTGAAATTGTGAGAATCAGTAGAATGTTAAATGATGAGTTCTGGGAAACTGCTTTCTAAATATTTGATATCAGTAGAGTAGGAGCAGCTGCAGCAATGGGATTATTGAAGATTAGTGCGTACGGACGATTTGAAAGCCCATTGGGCCTGTCTATGGATTGAAAAAACTATGTTTGGACTGCCCCATTTCCTATTTGGACACCTGTAAACTTGCTAATAAGAACTATGCTATAAATTGAAGCCCCTTAATTATAATTATGAACTCTATAGTACTAGACAATAGAATGGAGACCTTTTTATTCAATTACATTCACCCCTGTTTGGTTTAGCTAAAAAAATAATAAATAATAAATAATAATAATAATAATAATAATAATAATAATTTGAGTTTAAGTCTACAATTCGTTTAAATCACATGTTTTTTATGAGATCTACAATTTTTATTAACTTTTTAATTGCAGATTTTATCAACTTTATCGGAATCTACTGGTTTTTAGCAAAACTAAATAGGGTTCCATTAAAGTGTTGTAAATAGGATACGTAATGAGTTAGAATATTTCCAAATATTCTTAATTTTATGTAACCAATCTAGCACAGTGTATATTTCTCAAATATTCTAATATGTCAACAAAAATAAATTAAAAGAGAGAACATTAAGAGCCTGTTTGGGAGTGATTTTGAGAATTAATTTTTTGACTATTAGGAGAAAAGCGGGATCTACCTGTGAGAGAAGAAGTGAAATATGACGGTTGGAATAGTGAAATAATAGTCAAAAAATCAATTTTTTGGGACGAAAAATCGCTCCCAAACAGACCCTAAATTTTGAGACAGAGACGTTTAGAAAGATTAAAGAATGGTTAATTGGATATCTTCAAACAAATTCAAGTTTACATGATCAATCATGCTACACATCCAGGTTTAAATCTAAACTCAAATTCAGATGGGACACATATCGACATATAATTAGACAATTTAAAAAATTAAAATAAAAACACTTAATTATTTTCTAACACATCGATCTATCTTTTCACTTCTTATTTTTAAATCTCATTAAGTCGTTTTATACTTACATGATAGGGTGGCAAAATAATGGAGTGGTATAGCCGCCCAAATATGGGCCCTACTTATTTTTGTATTTCACTTTTGCTTTTCGCTTATGTTGTGATAGCTTACGTAAGCTTACTAACGTTTGCTTCCACATTTCTTCATTTAGATTTCAAAAAAAGCCAGCCAGCCAGCCAACCCCTAAGCTGATTCTTGAAAAAAAGTGATTATTTATTTGCTTGAAAGCGATTCCAATGGGTGAAAAAAAAAAAAAGAAAGTGGCAATATTTTATTTTAACGTCAAAGTGACGCAGGAAGTGACGTGTAATCTCACGTGACTGATGACGCGGAGAGTCGTGTGACCAAGAGAATCGAGAAGGAGGAAGGGTAAAATCGGAAAGAGAAATTAAATGAAGTGGCAATGAGCTGTCAAAATGGGGAAGTGGACACGTTTAGAGAGGTGTGGTCCCATCTCATGCCGACACCCACCCCCACTCTACGCCCAATGCTTTCCAGAGCCCAGACTTTTTATTTAGGCCAACTGGGTACCGAAATAAATGAACTGTCAAAATACTTTCTTTTTTTTTTTTTTTGTTTGAAGAATATCCATAATATATTAATATCATGTTAAGTGAGAATTATTTTTTAGACGATTTTAACCATACTACAATTTAATTATTTCAATAATATCTTACTTTAAATTTTTCAATATGTAATAAATACTACAAAATCCTTATCATGTACTCCCTCCTTTCCATTTATATAAACTTGTTTTATTTTTTACACAGATTAAAAAAATCTTATTTAATGATATTTAAAAAGTAATTTTTGTTAATAACTTTTATAGTTTGTCCTTATTTATATTTGTACAATTTTAAGATTAAGTGAAATATTAGTTATAATCGGGCAAATTAAATAAAAGTATATTAGTAAACGAACAAAATAAAATAAGTTCGGTCAAAAAAGGACTATATAATTGGAACAACGAAATAAGGAAAGTAAGTCTATATAAATGAGACAAGGGGAGTATGAATTTCGTGTTGTTAAGTATCAATTAATTAACATTCACATTACTCTAAACTTAATAAATCTTGACTCGATGAATCTTAATCTACGTGAATCTATAGTTATTATGGATGAATTTATTTATATTCACATATCTAAAAATTTTAATGGGTATTTAAATTCATACATTAACAATTAATTCCTATATACCAAATATAGTATAAAAATATTGCTCATTTGTAGTATTTTATCATCACAAAAAAATTTGAATTATAGAAATTGAGTTTTATGACTACAATAATATTTTCTTAAATTTCTATCATAAATTTTATTTTCTTTAGTTCGTTTGAGACACATCAAATCTAACCAACAAATTGATATCAAATATTATTTTTACAACACTTATCATTGTAATACCAAAGAATATTGTAGGAAATTTGGGATTCAAAAATCTTGTGAGTTTTTAGACCCCAACATATTTGGCATTTGCACTTTTGGTCGGATTGTTGTTTGAAAAAAAAAAAAAAAATACACACACACACACAAACCAACATGTGTGTCTGTGTGTTGAACAAAATATTAATTATAGGGTCAAATAATTCTTTAAAATAAAGATTTTTGTATTAATTCTTGAAAGGGACTATACAATATAAAACTATTAGACGTGGAAACTGATTTTCCTCTCGTCAATATTACTTTTTTCTTATGTTGAAATTCAAGGCTATTAAATCACAAAGGCAGGCCTATGTTAGCTGGTTGCATATTTTAATTAGGTTATAATTAATAATAAATAATCTTGCAAGTGGAATTGTTATTGCATTAATTAAACAAATTTAGAGTCCGTTTGGTGCACATTTTTTAGATGAAAATACATTTTCAACATCATATCGCGGGTCCCCCATTAGAGTGTAGAAGTCAAAAATTGTGTGCTGATGTGATGGAAAAAATGCATTTTTGACTCCAAAAATGAGTACCAAACAGGGGCTTAGATTGGTTTGCATGAGAATGTTTGTGTGTATTTATATGATTGAGTTATGGAGTTTTAAATTAAAAGATAGAGCTTGTTAATAATTGTTAAAAGAATTGTTTAATTTTTTTTTTATTTTTTTTTAATTATTGCTCTCATATTTATGCAAGGTTAGTTTTTTCTTTGAAAATGACATCTTTAAATTTGACTCAATTGTGCTTTAAATAAATCGCATTGCTTGTTTAAATTTTTTCGGTTTTAATATTATATTGAATATTGAGGTTCAATTTTAAAAAACTAACCTTGTTAACATAATTATGTAATTTAATATCTTATGAGTCATTATCTTCTCATATTTATGCAATGTAAAATTTTAATTTTACAAGCCCACCACATTTAGCCCTTGTTTGAAAAAAATTAAATTACATTACATTACATTATATTTTTCTCTCTCTTATTTTCAACCACACAATCTTCCATAAAATAATATTACACGTAAATCAAAAATTTTTCTTTCTTTTTCAACCACTCATTTTTCAAAAAACACTATTCTATACATTAAATTCCCCCCGTAATGGGGGCCAAACAGGGGCTTATATGTATGTTACACGAGTGCTGTAGAAGAGATTTATCCCTTGTTTGATTTTCATTTTTCTAAAAATTTATTTTTTTAAAATTCATTTTAACCACATATTCTTCAATAAAATAATACTCAAAATTTTTTCTTAATTTTTAATCACGTGTTCTCCATCAATCTATTATTCAAAATCCTATTTTCCCCAAAATGGGGATCAAACAAGGGCTTACTAAAGGTACGTTTGGCGGGACTTTTAGAAACAGCTTTTGGACGTGTTTGTATAATTTTTTTGAAAGTTATTTAATTGATTAAAAGAGTTTTTAGAGTAAGTTGACAGAGAATAATTTTCAATGGTTGTTCTTCAATCAAAAGTAGAAGCAAAAGTAAAAAAATTGCCAAATGAGTCCTTAATAGGCTTATGTTATTGGTTAATCTTGTATGTTTGGCTAAGCTTAAAGGGTGATTATGAAAGAAGCATGGTTGATTACTTTTGTTTTGAAAAATTCAAATGTTGCTGTCATTAAAAGTTAAGTAAACGGTAAAGCCAAAATATGAAGTTTACAAAATCATTATAAGAAATCTTTGCAAAGATTTTATGGGCCCAAAATCAAGCCATAATCTTAAAGTCATACCAGTGATCAGTTGAAAGGTGCCACCCCCTACTCTACCCTAGCCTACCCTAATTGGTCGTGAAGATTATGTCGCTAGGCCCGACCCGGCCCGTTCTTGATTGAATGGGGCAATTTGATTTTAAAAAAATCTGTCGTCTCTATTTTGCCCTTGTTTAGTTTATCTTAAAAAATCATTTCTTTGTTTACCAAAAAAGGGAGTGACATGTGTACACAATGGTGTACACAAAGCATTATATCCCTTCACATGAAAGAAAGTCCACATACCATAAAATATTCATAGGTCCCCCCTCCATGTGAGGGGGTGTAATCCAAAAAAAAGAAAAAAAAAGGTTGAACCCCAACTTTGAGTGCCCCCACGGTCCCGTTCCTAGAGCTTTGTGTGGGAGGTAAATCGCGGGATGTGTCCCAACAGGCCAAGGAACAAGAGCTACATGTACACTGCGTCTACAAGGAGTCCGATTCCATGTTTCAGGAATCCAACCCCCACATTGCGACTGCCAACAAGGTGTGAGATAACCACACTCATGTTCTTTGCACCACTAAACTATGTCCTGGACACAGGGAGTGTAATCCATTGTGTACACCAAGAGGTGTACACATAGAATTATAAAAAAAAAAAAAAGGAAAAAAATTTGATGAAATTTGTGGTTGAAAAGTTGATACAATAAAAAATTTTAAAAAATGAGTCAA